TCTTTGATCCTGGTTCCTGACATAGAGCTCCTAATCTCCTGGAGTTTCCTGAATGATATGAGTCTTTCATTCTACTGAAGCAACTCTTGGTGGGCTCCTGAATGGGGGCTCCTCACCAGAGAGATCATGATTAGAAGACTGGAACTTTCAGCCCCAACCCCTATACTCTAAGGAAGGGAGAAGAGGTAGAGATTGAGTTAATAATCAATTATTCTTACATGATGAAGCGTCCAGATAAATCCTTAAAGTATGGGGTTCAGAGAGCTTCCAAGTTGCTGAATACATCAAGATATTGGGAGGGTGGCACACCTAGAGAGGGCATGGAAGCATTGCACTCCTTCCCCCATACCTTCCCCTGTGCGTCTCTTCCAGCTGTTCCTGAGTTGTACCCTTTTATGATAAACCAATAATCTAGTTAGTAAACTGTTTCCCTGAGGTCTGTGAGCCATCTTATAAATTATCAAATCTGAAGAGAGGGTCATGAGAACTTCCAAATTTATAGCTAGTTAGTCAAAAGCACAGGCGACAACCTGGACTGCAATAGATACCTGAAGTGGGCTGTCTTGTGGGATTGAGCCCTTAACTTGTGGGATCTGATGCTAACTCCAGGTAGAGTATGCCAAAATTGAATTGTAGGATACTCAGTTGTTGTCTGCTGGAAAACTGAATTGTTGTGAGAAAAATCCCTACACATCTGGTGTAAGAGGTATAAGGTGAGAGGAGAAAGAGTTCTTTTCCTTTCACTTCTCCAATTAGATTTTTAACTCAAAACATCTTTTAACTCCAGTATCAGGAGTGACTTCTGGCCTAGGGTAGGTAAGGTACTCAATAAAATGTTTGCTAAATGAATACATTTTCTCACATATATTACACTGTAATTGGTAGACAGGTTCCACAAACATTTATTTCAGCTAATATGGCTGAAACAAGTAGCATTTCAGCACCTTAAAGGTAAAGGAGTTATCCTTACTTGTATATTTCATGTTCATTAATACATATTTAGCTAGTTAAATGAACAAGTGACCTTTTTCATTAAGTCTGTTTAAAGAGCTTTTGTTATTTAGTTTGAAAATCTGAGCGACATAACCAAGTTTGTGTGTGAAAGTGTTCTTAGCTATTCAATTTCTAATCTGGAAGTCAAACAGCCATTGTCACCATAGTCAAATTACATGACCTCAAATACTATTATCAAAGCACTTAAAAAAAACAAATTCCCAATCCTGGCATTTAGGACCTCCACAATTAAACCCCAATTTATCCTGCATGCTACTCCTTTTCTTCATGCATGCTACACACCAGCCAAAATGAACACTTCTCTTATCTCCAGGGGCTACACTTACCTCTTTATGTCTTGGCTTTTACTGTCTGCTTTATTAGAAAGTCCCCTTACCTAGTTCCACAAACTCAAACTCAAATCTAATTTATTCTTTGTATATCATTCAAATAACATCTCCTGATCCTTTTGCACTTCTAGAGGTAATCCACCATCCTCTAAACTCCAATAGCACTTTATCTAGATCTGACACCATTTATAACTTTATTCCAAGAGTATGTAGTTATATATCTATTTTCTCTCCCTCTATTTAACAGTAAGGGCAGGTTCCATGTATAATTCAACATTTTCCAAAGTATGTTAAATGAAATTGACAAAATTAATAAGCACTAGAAAAGTTTCATTGTCTAAAATATTTGGGAAATGAACTCAGAATCTTTAACATGCTAAGGTATATTGGAAATCTCTAACGAAACAAAGTGTGCACATTGCCAAAATTTATTTGGCCTCTGAACCATTGGGGTTATTTGCAGTACATCTCATAAGATTAATATTTTTATGGCATGCCCTTTGGGACATGCAGCCTAATTAATCTTGGCACCTTATCTTGAATTTAATAGGTCCTCAGCAAATATTTGTTGAATGAATGGGTAATTGACTCTAGTTCTCAAAAAACTCTCCTATTAAAGTAACTTGCCCAGGGAGAAGAGAAGACTACAGAAGAATAACAGGCGAGAAAAGTAGTAAATGAGAAGGGAGTACAATGTCTTCAGTAGTGCAGCAAGAGAAGACAGGAATATTTGCAACAACAGAAAAAGAATTTACTATTCCAGCCATTTTTTATATGTAGAGGAATAATTAATCCAAACTACGTAAGAATTCCTGTTTAGTATGTCCATCCTGAGGTGATTATTTAGAAACACTGCACATAGGTCCTTTCAGAAAGCTTTGTCAACAAGGGTTGAAACTAAAGGTATTCTGGTCAATTTCCAGGATACTCAATATTAAAATAGCTGCATCTATTACTAATCATTTCTGTAAACTGAAGAAATATCCTATAGTTTGATTTTGTTGTATGAAGGTGTTCATGTTAAAAAAATGGAAATCTTACGGGACCAATAACAAGATTTTAAAAGAAACAAAGTTAACACATGAAATTTCATGGGTTCAAAACATAATTTTGTATTGCTTTGACCTCATTCAATGTGGAAAAATGAAAGCACAATTCAACTTAATAGTGCTTTAAAACCAGGATGCATAAAAACAAAATATCCTTGACTACATCCTGACCTCTATTTCCCACAGTTCTCCAGCTGGGACTGAGTAAGGGAAGCAAAAGAAAAAGACACTCCCTGACTTGTCCTACAACCTAGATCCAATAGCAGTAGCAACAGGAAATAGCAGCAATGACTGAGATTTGGTTTGTTTCCCCCACCCCTCCTTCTACCCTCTAAAGCAAAGAGACTAACTTTTCACTTAGGGATGAAAACTTATCCAAGAATAGAGTCTATTGTAGGGCTGAAAAGATAAATATTTTTCTTAATCATAATATTCATATTTAATTGTAACTAGTAATGTGATATGCTTTTCATTTTGATGAGGCAACGAACTATATATGATCTGAAAAGAAAAAGTCTCATGAGTTAAGATCCATAAGCATGTTTAAAGTTGCTCTATGAACCCTCTGGCCACAGAACCAGTTGGTCTCTGTCGTCACTGGTCAGTAAGTGAATATTACTGGTTATCACATAACTAGAGTCATTGAGATCCTAGAAAGTAAAAAATATATATTTCTCTACCTCCTCCCCTTCCTCCCTGGAGGGGAACAGAAATCAAACACATTTTCAAATAAGTTATGTGAACTCATGTGGTCAAACATGTAAGAAAAATAGACGTAGCATGGTCTGAAACACAATTGGGAATGTCAAGCAGAATTCATTAACTCAAAGATTAATACCTTATGAATTGTATGACAAAATAACAGTTTTCTATTAATACCGAGCTGGTCAAGTATTTCATTAAGTAAATTAAAGATCTCAACTTCATAAATAGTTTTCTACCTTTATAAAATGTAAAAAATAAAACAAAGAACTACATACAGAACTTTAGTATCTTGCCCAAAAACACACAGTAAACCTTTTAGCAAAAGGAATGTCTCCCTGCTCTTGTTGATAAACAGATGACACAATTTTGGAATTAGATAGCTAATGTAATGTATGTCCCAACCCTTAAATCTGATGAAATGCAATTAATATTTCCAAATTCTTTCTTGTACTTATAACCCTTCACTCGAAAATAACTATTTTACTACAATTTAACAATGGCATATGTTATTCCTCCATCAAAAGTATTACCTATCCAAAAGCTGACAAACTCAAAATACAGTAACAAACGTGAAAAGTTCCCAATTGTTATGAAAACTGTGGCATTCAAATTTTAAGGCAAAAAAAAGCCAAACAAAAACAAAAAACCTACTGCATCACAAGCAGAAAAAAGATCCAGTTTTCACTCATAGATAAATTCTCTATTGTTGACTGCATTCTTCTCAATTATTATTTACACATTGTTAATCATTTGGAAGCACAAGCACACACTTAAAGGGTTTTTCCTTCCTTTTTCTTCACATCTCCGTTTTCGTTTCTTTCAAAAAAGGAGATTCTTTATATGTTTCATTGTTTAGTGGTCCAATTAGAATTTTCCTATTATTTCAAACAACACAGCTTCTTAGATGGAATTTCACTAAATTAAATTTTAAGTTTTAGAGACTCAAACTCTCAAGGAAACACATTAGAATGAATGCTCACTGTCTCACGAGTTAAGGATTCATTATAGCAGTTAGGTGGGTTTTTTTTTTTTTTTTTAAATACACTTCAATTCGTTAAGATCTGAACATAAATGTTAATTTTTAGTTTTGCCACCCTTCAGCATGAAGGGTTAAGTAGGCCCGTATTGGTCTAAAAAATACTTCGGCCTTTTCAAATGTAAGGGTAAACTGACAGGCAGATAAGTGCTACTTCTCCACTTTACTAACGGAATGATTACTCAACAACCAGAAGCCCCCAAACCTCCCAATCTCAGGTGGCCCCGAGATTGAGTACCCAAGCGCCAAGTCAGGGCTAGCCTAACTTGGAGCTCATGGCTCCTCTTTCCACGCCTGAGTCCGCCCTTCCCACCACTCACGCTGAGTACACTTTCCAACGCCCAAACCCCCCAGCCCTGCGGATATAACCGCCCCTCCTCCTTTCGGACTCGGGGATCCCTTCCCCGCCTCTCCACCCCGGTCCCCAAGCCACCCCTCCCCCACTTCACGCTCCGCCCGCGCTGACACCGGAGCCGCCACCCACCCTTCTCTTCCACACCTTTCCACCGAGGGCTGCCCCCGGGCCGCGTGCGCACAGCCGCTGCTCTGCCCGCCCTCCTCGTAGCCAGCACCTAGGGCCTGCCACTCCCTGAAGAGCCGCCGGGACCCACCTCGAAAAGCTCGGCCGTCGTAGCCATCCCGGCCGGCTGAGAGGCTCGCCTCGCACTGGACGCCGTCTCCTCTTCACATGCTGCGCCTCAGCGGCGCCGCGCACAGGTCTCTGCTCTGCTCGCCGGCTCCGGCTCCTGGCCGCCGCGGGCTCCCTGACTCCCCACAGAGCCCAGGCGGGGCGGAATAGCGGCCATGAAGCGAAGCCGCAGACGCCTGTCAGCTGCCTCTCGGCACCGCCCGCGCCGCTCCCATTGTCACCGCCTCGCACGCCGGAAGTGGAGCTGCGCGCGCCGGGTTGGCTGTCGGGAGGGGCCGACGGGCGAAGCCAGCAGCCGGTGAACCGCTGAGAGGCTCGTCGCTCGGGCGAGTGAGGAACTGTGATCCTTGCGGGCCACCATCCCGGAAGTGGAATTTAAAGGAAGCAAGTATTAGGGCTGCCGGGGATAAATAAGTTTCTAGAGATTTTAGATGCGGATGCACAGAACTTTTTGTGATATGTGTTGGCCAGGAGGGACTCTGAGCCCGACCTGTTTGTGGTGGCGCAGAAGTGGCTAAGGATGAGTGAGCCTCGGGGCTTCTAAGAGTCCGTCTGAGAAAGCCGGTCTGCGCTCTTCCTTGTTGGCGGCCTCAGAGGTGAGCTCTTGCGTTAGCGGCGTATCATGGCCCTGCGGGCAGTGTGGCTAATAAGCCACGAATCGGGGACCCCACTTTGTGGCACCGTCAGATTCTCCAGGTAAATGATGAGTCAGAGGGGTGGATGATGTAGCCTAGCTTTGTGATGCAAAGTATCCCTGGTCTGCCACCTTGGGCGAGTTACTTAACCTTTGTTTCGTCTGTTTAATGAAAATTTAACAATACTACCTCATAGTGTTGTGAGAATAAAATGAGTCTGTGCCTGGCACATACTAAGTTTTATGTGTTTTCCAATACAGTATTAGTATTACTGTATCTTAAAATTAACTCCACCTGCTTACGATTGATATGGAGATGATGAAAAAGAAATTTATTGAGCACTACACATGTTTAAATTTTTTCTTTCATTAATAAAAATCATTCAAGGACATTTTTAACTCATTCTTCTGGAAAATCCGTGCTGAGCAGTATCAACGTTATTTTCATTTTATGTTTCATTAGTAGGAAATTTCAGATCGTTTCCTAATTACTGAAGAAAGATTTTTAAAGTACAAAATTAAATTGTATTCACTTTTTCTTAGATGGTATATATAAGCTGACCTGGTTCCAGTTTTAGAATTTGCCACATTTTATCAAGATACAATCGCTAATTGTAAATGTGGGTGGCATTTGGGGACTCTTTCACCTTTTATTCTCAGTGGCTATTGACAGTTCTTGCCAACAAATTTTTCCGTGATTTAAGCTCAGTGGTGAAGTAGCGTAGCTCTGAATTGAGGTTGAGGCAGATAGAGATAAATGTGATTTTAAATGAAAAGTGGTTGGCGATATGCATGTGAAAAATTCACTCTTTGCAACCTAAAGAGAGTTGATGAGGGCATCAGAGTTGGAGTTTACCATTTTCCTCCAGGATACATGACTTACATTTGTTGTTGTACCTCAAGTAAGGAGGTTAATAATATTCTTTAGTATGTTTCATAAGCCTCATTGGTATACTATGGTAGACCAAGTTTTACTTATATATTCCTTCGAGTATCTTTATATCTGCCATTCTCCCCCACCTCACAGGTAACTCATATTTTTGTTGCTATCCTGTATTCATGTGTTTGTGTATGCATTTTTCAAATTACATAATTATGCTATAGTCTTCATTCCCTTTTCTTGTCAGATTTGTCAGCAATATTTTTAAGGAACTTTCATGTTACTTCGTGTTCCTATAGAGCAGCACTGTTCAATAAAATTTTCTGCATTGATGGACGCGGAGAATGTTCTAAATTTATGCTGTCACTAGCCACATGTAGCTATTGAGCTTTTGAAATGTGTCTATTGTACCTGAGGAACTCAATTTCGTTTAAGTTTAAATAGCCGCATATGGCTAGTGCCTATTATATTGATCAGTGCAAATCAAGGCCATTACTTCTTACTCTGTAGTACTCCATGATTTACATCCTCCACATTTTACCTGTCCCAGTGATGATATTCGGATTGCCTCGAACTCTTGCTGAGTTCGCTACTGCTGTAGATATTCTCAGACGATCCTATGCTGATTTTGACTAAATATTACTTAATAATTAGCTCCAAGGAATACTTTCACCAGTCTACACATTCAGCAGCAGTGAGCAAGAGTTTTTTGCCAGTACAGTATCTTTATTTTCATTGCTTTTCTCCGTGTAGCAGTGATATTTAGCCCTTAGGATTTCCTCTTCTGTAAAGTGCCTGTACATATCCTTTATTCATCTTTTCTTTGAGAGTTGCTGGGTTTTTTCCCGTTAATTTGCCAGCATTTACTATGTATTCTCAATATTAGTCCTATGTCATTTTTAGCTATCACAGATATTTTCTCTTAATTTATCATTGTCAATCAACTTTGTGTTGCCCTTGGTTAAACAGAAATCACTAATTCTATTGCAAGCAAAGTAGTTAATACTTTGGGAGATTTTGAAGTCTTTTTCATCCCTACTCTTATTTCCTAAAGATATCTTCCTACATTATCTTCTCTTTATCATTTTATCTGTTATATTTAAGTCTTCTTCTGTAGTCCATCTTTGGATGTGCTGTTAATGAAGGAATCTCATTTTGTTTTTCTCTATACCGTGGGCCAGTTTTCTGACATCATCTTCCAAACTAATATGTTTTCTTAATTGATTTGTTGGGCTATCGATAGTTTATTATGTCTCCCATATAAACATTGGCCTGCCTCAGTTCTATCACTTTGTCTGTTCTTGTACCAATACCATACTATGTATACATACCACAGTATGTATTTATCTGTGGCATTGTAGCTTATCTTAGTATCCCATAGAGGTAAGATTTTTTTTCTTGCTTTTAAAAAGCTCCTTGAAGAAGTCATGCTTGTTTTCAGAATTTTTTCCCCACTGTACTCAGAATATTTCAGAAGAAAATTTCAGATATGTTTGAGTGGATATTTCAGCATCTCCATTGAGGCAGCAAGTTGGGTTCAAATAATTTACCAATTCTGTAGTGTTAAGTTTTATTATTTTCAGTTTTTTGACCTCTTGGGGCTGGTGGTATGCACTGGTATCTTATTCACGTATATGCCAAAAGATAATGGCCTTGATTTAATTTTAAAAAGCAAATGATCTTCTCTATATCTAACTTGGTTTAGATTCTGTTTTAAAGATTTGCTAGATAGGTAGTAATAGTATCAGATTAAGTCTGGCTGAGGTTGGTATTGTACCCCACAGTTGTAGGACCGTTTAGGTTTGAATCCTAGTGCAGAAAAGACCTAGAATAAGTCTGAATGGCAGATTGAGTCATCTAACAAAAATATTTATTGAGCACATATTGAAGCATTATGAAAGGTCCAAGATTAATTTCTTATCTTTACATTGAATCATGAGATTCTTGCACTTAACAAGAATTCTAATCATCCTCTAGATAACTGGTAGATAAGCACTGTACTAGAGTTTAGTCCAAAGTTCTCAACTATTCTTATCCAGAGACTCAGAAAGAAATGGCATTCACCTACTAGTTTATTACAGGAGTGCTAGCTAATTCTTTCCCCTTCTCAATCAAGAAAATGCATCAGAATGTGAATTGAATGATTGAGATGCACTAATATATTGATAACTTTGAATACATTCTTATTTTTCATTTTTAAGATTGTTAGTAATCGTCAACGTTTTATTAGTAGTATTAGTGAAAAAAATTATTTTGGTCAGGTGTGTTTTTGATCCTTGATAAGAATTACTGGTGTGTTCTCTAGCCACCTTTTTATTTTACAAATAAGAAAATAGACTTGGGGAAATTAGATGATTTACACAGAAGTTAATAGCCAATAGATGACTTTGTTATGGACTTTTGAAGTCTCCACTAGAGAGGTAAGTAATAGAGAAAGTACATGTTTTTTGAACTGGGAAAATGTAATCTCTCATTTCTATAAGTGAGCAAAAGCATCTTCTGTTCTCCCACCAAAAAAGGGATGAATGAGTAACTTACCATTCAGCCCAGAGCATGCAAACCATAAAAGATTATTCAAATTTTATTATTTTCATTACTTTATAATATATTCCAGGACCATAGAGGTAGATAGACCATTATTATTAAAATGCTCTTACGTATTTTTGTAGGAGTTGGCAAGAAGACTTAGTGTACCTGTTATTCACTATGGGTTGAGTAGAATAGAACATTTCTTTTTTACAATTGTATCATCTCAACTAGTGAATTCAAAATTGGAGAGGATTAAATTAACCACTTCTTTCGATCCTACTCTACCAGATGGCATCATAAAAAAATTCTTATAGGTGTCTAAAATGTGTCCAGGTATATACTTCTTGTCTACCAAGTGTGAATCTGAGCAGCCAAGAGACTAGGGTTTTGAATTAAAACCATGTGCTCTACCTATTTTAAAAATTAACTAAATTGAATTATTTTTTAGTACTAGGAAATGATACTTTATCATTTGAGATAATACCAAGTATCAACAGTCACTATAGTCAGAACTTAACGTGATATTTTTTTGGTTGTGGTTTTCGTGAGTGTGTATGTATCTGTTAATGTGTTTTTTATTGTTATTTCTGTTTGCCTTGTGTTTTGAGGGGTTCTTTTTGTTTGTTTTTAGATTCTTCTATTTTTATTTGAATGAATCATTTATAATGTTTTTGTTTCCATAATGCAGACGATATCCAACTGTTGAAAAACGAGCCAGAGTCTTCAATGGATCAAGTTATGTGTCTATCCCTGAAGATGGTCCCTTTCTTAAATCATTACTCTTTGAACTCAGATTATTGGATGAAGATAAGGGCTTCATGGAGAGTCGTGATAGCTGTTCACGCATCAATAAAACATCTGTTTATGGACTTCCAGTTGGAGGTGAAGAACTCTGGCCAGTTGTTGCTTTTCTGAAGAATGGCATAGTATATGCTTGTGTTCCACTAGTTGAACAGACTTTATCCCCTCGTCCACCATTAATTAGCATTAGTGCAGTTTCACAAGGCTTCGAACTTCTTTTTGGGATACAGGATTTTCTTTACTCAGGTCAAAAAAATGACACTGAGCTAAATACAAAATTGAGCCAATTGCCTGACTTGCTTTTACATGCTTGTCCATTTGGAACTTTGTTAGATGCCAACTTACAGCATTCATTGGATAATATTAATTTTGCTTCTGTGACTCATCCACAAAAACAGCCAGCCTGGAAAGCTGGAACATACAAAGGAAAACCACAGGTTTCTATTTCTATTACTGAAAAGGTAAAATCCATGCAATATGATAAACAGGATATAGCAGATACTTGGCAAGTTGTTGGAGCTGTCACTTGCAAGGTGAGCTTTTTCTCAGGTATTTGTATTATAACACTTAACTATGAAAAGGAAAACTTGTTAACTTTTATTTTGTATTATATGACATTTTGATTTTTATCATAAACAGCAGTCATCAGATGTTAAGATTCATGTGAAAGTTTGTATGTTACCTTTTTGCATTCCTTACAAATTGTATTAGTTATGTATTGCTGGGTAATGAATTGCTTCATTATCCCAACAATGAACATTTATTATCCTCATAGTTTCTGTGGGTCACGACTTCAAGAACAGCTTAGCTGGAACTTCTAGTGTGCAGTCTCTCATGAGTTCACAGTCAAGATTTCAGCCAGAGCAATAGTAGTCAACTGAAGGTTTGATTGGGGCTGGAAGATCTACTTGCAAGGTGGCTTACTCACATGGCTGGTTAACGGTAGGAGGCCTTAGTTCTTTCATGTGGACTTTTTAACATGAGATACTTAATGTCCTCACAACTGGTGACTGATTTCCTGTAGACGAAATGATTAGAGAGACAAAGACAGACACAAAGTACAGGTAAAAGCTGTTCTTTTTATAACCAAGACTAAAGAGCTCAGATAGCATCACTTCTACCATTTTCTCTAGAAGCAGGTCACTAAGTCTGGTCCACGTTCAAGAGATCTAGAATTAGGCTTCACCTTTAAAAAAAAAAAAAGTAATGTCAAAGAATTTGTGAAAATGTTTTAAAACCACCATACGTATTTTCCTTTTTTTTTTTGAGAGGAGGATGAATTGACAAATCTCTAACTTAATATCTAAAACCATTTTGAAGGGCTTTTGTTTTGTTTAAACAAGTCAGTAGATTAATATAGGATTCTCTGGTTTAAGTTAGAAAATGGGAAAAGACAATAGAAATAACAATATAGTTAGCAGTGATCAGTACCATGTTAAATAATGATCCAAAATAAAAACTCTCCAAGTACAAGTTCTACAAATGCATATTAATATTCTCAGATACCTTTATTTTTCTGGTATCTTTTTCTCTACACTTATGAATATAAACTTTTTATATATCAAACTTAGTGATTAGTAACTATGTACAAATCCTGTAGATAAAAATAGATTTCAAGAACAGAGAATTGTAACAGTCCTGGCAAACAAATTGGATCTTTTCTTTCCTTTTTAATTTTAAAGTAACCTAAGAGTTGATGTGTCTGTTTTAAACTCTCGTCCATCATGATCAAAAATACATTTCAGTTATTAACTTTATTAGAAATAATTATTGTACATAGCTCCAAAATTGAGATGTTAATGGATTATATTATTCATAAGTCTTTAAAGTAGTTGAATTCTCTTTCTTATAAGTTCCGTAAGATAAAAGTAGGAAAATTCGCTATTTCTGGGTTTTTTTCATTCTGTGACAATAATTAGGGAATATGTTATATATGATTTACTACTAATTAGTATCATGGTATAAATGTCTCAGTTTATTGTTAGGTTGACCCTCGTTTATGACATATGGGAATTTTGGATTGAATCCTGTTCCTAGTCTAATACAAATTATCATGATGGAAAATTTCATCAAAAAACTTTCTTTTAAAAATAAAAACAATGGGTGTGTATCTTCACTCACATGCTAAATGTTTCTTTAAACTTGTAGGTAAATAATATAACTGTTAGCCAAACACTTTTTAAGTATTTTAGGAGCTTAGTATTTTAAAGGAGTTTTATCGTGAAGCCTATTGTAAATGGAAATAATTACCTTCATTTTATCTTAGTCCTAGTAGAAAACCTGGTAAACTGAAAGCTAAATGGACTGAAGTTTTAGTCCCCACTCCACCACTAATTCTCTGAGTCTTTGGAAAAGTCACATCTTTTTTTTAATCCTTTGTCATATTTAAAATATGTAAGTTCCTAAGCCCCTTCCGTTTTTATAATTCCTTGTTAACCAGATTTACATATACTAGATTGGTTTAAAGGGTAGTACATAGATTTCTTCTAGAATGGATGTTCTCATTCTATAGTGAATGACTGGTGATATGGTACTTTAAATGCCTAGGAAGCGGGTAATTTATTCTTGATTTTCATAATGATTGCAATTTTCTAATCCTTTTGAGTATGTTAGAAGCCACTAAGTATAAACCGAATATTTTGAAATTCTATAGTATTTGCTATTAATATTTGCTTATTTTCTTACCTCCATAAATATCTGTCAAAAAACAAAACTAATTTTGTTCTTGCTAGTTCACGTATAAAGAATGAAGTAGCAGATGGTTTAGAAGTTGAAACACTAAAATATTTTTAAATTTTATAAGATTATTTGGCATTTTTATTTTCCAATGTAATTGATATTATTGTAACTCATGAAAAGGCACTAATTTTATATGACATTGTTCATAATGCCTGTCTGCTCTTAAGTGCTTACATTATGAAGCACATATATTCTTGAATTAACACATATGTCAGGCAGTAGATAAAAGAAAGACGTGAAACATTTCATATTAGAATGGAAAACAAAGGTAGGTCCATAATTAGAAAAAGATATCCATTCAGCAAACATTTTCGGAGTGTCTCTTGTGCCTAGCAATGTGTTAGGCACTAGAGAGATGAAGAAAAATATAACAGTTCTTGCTTTCAAAGAACTTACATTATCAAGAGAGAAACAGGCAGAGGCAAATACCTATAGGGGTGAATAGTTATTGTATGAGACAGACTGTGTATATGATGTTGGAACTAACTGCTTGCATTTGGAGCTAAGCATTATACTTGCTGAGTTTCACTAATTTTTAAATTAGTGATCTAGCCAAAAAAAAAACATATCAATAAGCTGTACATGGCTCAATTGACTAGTATTAACTAGAAAGTTAATAGAGGTAAACGTCAAGTTAGTTGTGGTAAAAGGAAGAATTCGACTACCCACATACATATGAATAAGGTATATCAGTCTGGTTGGGTGCAAAAGAAGCCACTGTAAGATTTATGGGAATAAGTGTGTTTAATGTAGGAATTAGGGCTTACTCAATTTTAAGAAGAGCCAAGAGAATAAAAGTGTGATCCTCTAGCTGCAGCATTTCAGAAACAGTCACTAAATGACTTCAGTCTGGACACTGGAAGGAGATAGAGAAGCCAGGGTTCACAGAGAACTCTAAGAAGCTGCCATGTCAATCTGTTACAGCCTTAAAGCAGTAATTCATGGAAAGGTCTGTGATAGTGCTGCATCTGGCCACCACAGCTTTAGCAGGAGCTCAGTAGAGGTTCGTGAAGCTGTCAGTTCTGGCTTCCACGACCTTGCAAGAATACTGGCTTTCCTTTTCCTTCTACCTTCCATGTCTATCTTGAGTACCTCTCATTGGCAAACTAACCCAGACCACATAGGAAAGAATATCCTGGGCTTCTCTACATGGCAGAAGTAGGCTGTAGAGGTAACAATTTTTGAACATAGGGCCCCACACAAAGTCTCGAATAAGCTAAGGTTACAAAGAGAAAAGATTGTAGCTGAAGGGAATAGCACATATAAAAGCATGGAGGCGTACATAAGACATTATGATTTACTCAGGGAAATTCAAGAATCCAATGTCGACAGCATTTAGTTACCAGGTAGAAAATGGTTAAAGAGGTAGGTACGAGCCCAACAATGAAAGACTTTAAAATTAATACAGTACCAAGAGGAAACTACTGAAAGATCTTGAGCATGGATACAATATAATTAGAATTATGTTTCATTAACATAGCTCAGCATCAATGGAGGATGGATTGTTTAGAGGAAAACAAATCTGTGACAAATTGTAAGGTCCTGTACCAGTGTGTTTGCAATGAGAATGGAGAGAAGTCAGTGGATTTAAAATAGCTTTCTATAAGTTTTAGGTATAAGCAGAGAGCTCTAGGAAGTATCTGAGAGCATGATAGAACTATTAACCAGAACACAGAAAGTAAAGAGAATAATACAGTGAGAGAAAAGTGAGTTAAGTTGTGGAAAATAACTCATAATTTCAGAAAAGCCTTAAGATATATGCTTCTAAGATCTTGCTAAGATCTGTTTCTGTTTGTATTGCAGTGTGATTTAGAAGGAATCATGCCAAATGTTACCATCAGCTTGAGTCTTCCCACCAATGGATCTCCACTTCAAGATATTCTAGTTCATCCTTGTGTGACTTCTCTTGACTCTGCCATTTTGACTTCTAGTAGCGTTGATGCAGTGGATGATTCTGCATTTAGTGGACCTTATAAATTTCCATTCACTCCACCGTTAGAGTCATTCAACTTATGCTACTACACTTCCCAGGTAAACAACCTTGGAGAAATTGAGAGTTAGCTAATTTTCATACTTAAGAATTCTATTTTAAGCGAATCATTCATATATTTGGTCCAAACGAGAACTTTTCTTGAGTTATCAGGCAATAATTGATGAATGAAGATGAAGATTCAGCTCTTTGAATAGGATGCCTCTTATCTCTGGAGTCTGAAACAGCATTGACTGGTTTTCAAAGTTATGGGATTTTTTTTTTTTAATGTTCCTTGATAAGGAGTCCATGGTATAGGATAAATCCTGGTATGATTTAGTCATGAGCATGTAAAAATACCTATAATCCCAGGCAACTGTGCTTACAAATATATAAATTAATAGCTGTTGCTTATTGAATAACTATTGTGTCAGACATTGTCCTAGGCACTTTATATATTTTCTTCTCTAGTACTTTTAAAACCCATAAGGTTGGTACTATTAGCCCCATTTTACAAATGAAGAGAGTCTCAGAGAAGTTAAATGACTTGCACAAGGTCATATAACTGATAAGTAGCAGAGCCGAGATTTCAGCCTAAATTTTCCAGACTCCAAAACCCAACATCTTTTCTGCTATACCATTTGTCTCTTGTCCTAATTGTGAATTGGTAGTTTAGGAAAACCTACTCAAGCTAGCTTAAGTAAACGGAATTTATTTTGAGAGTGTAAGAGGCAATCTTATTGTCATACAAGGATAAGAAATTAGACCCAAGATGTACTGTAACTAGAACCAGAAGACTAAAATTAAAATCACTCTGTACTCAAGGTCTGCACTGTCTCATCTCTGCTTCTCATACTCCTCTTCTAACTGGCTTTCTCTGCTTGCATGTGACCTACAGCTCTAGGACCTATACTGTGTAAGTAGGTCCTTCTTATTTCTGACTTCACATGTACCAGAAAGAGTGATTAGCTCACCTCAGCCTACAGAATGTCCCCCCTTCAATCAGCTATCGATAACCAATTTAGTAAGCTAGTGCTGAGCTAGGAAGTGGGGATGTCACAAGATACAAATGGGGCAGCAGGAACTATGGGCAGGTGTCAGTGATCAATATGTCTAGTGCACATCTTATATTGCAGATCATGGAAAACCTGGAGGAAGGGAACCTGGATGAGCAAGAGTAGGAAAAAGAATGTATTGCACGCCTTTTTCGTCTCTGAAAACAAAAAGAGATGGAAGAATCTCTGCCTGTAGAACAAATGTAGCTCCATTATCTATTATCGAAACAACTTGGAGTAATCTGTTAGTCATTAAAGACATATCTGTATATAATGACTATATTCTTGCAAGACTTTTTTCTCAATCACCATTGTTATTTTAGACCCATTAACCTGAGAATTATGTAAAAATTTTTAGGGCTTACTCAATTTTAAGAAGAGCCAAGAGAATAAAAGTGTGATCCTCTAGCTGCAGCATTTCAGAAACAGTCACTAAATGACTTCAGTCTGGACACTGGAAGGAGATAGAGAAGCCAGGGTTCACAGAGAACTCTAAGAAGCTGCCATGTCAATCTGTTACAGCCTTAAAGCAGTAATTCATGGAAAGGTCTGTGATAGTGCTGCATCTGGCCACCACAGCTTTAGCAGGAGCTCAGTAGAGGTTCGTGAAGCTGTCAGTTCTGGCTTCCACGACCTTGCAAGAATACTGGCTTTCCTTTTCCTTCTACCTTCCATGTCTATCTTGAGTACCTCTCATTGGCAAACTAACCCAGACCACATAGGAAAGAATATCCTGGGCTTCTCTACATGGCAGAAGTAGGCTGTAGAGGTAACAATTTTTGAACATAGGGCCCCACACAAAGTCTCGAATAAGCTAAGGTTACAAAGAGAAAAGATTGTAGCTGAAGGGAATAGCACATATAAAAGCATGGAGGCGTACATAAGACATTATGATTTACTCAGGGAAATTCAAGAATCCAATGTCGACAGCATTTAGTTACCAGGTAGAAAATGGTTAAAGAGGTAGGTACGAGCCCAACAATGAAAGACTTTAAAATTAATACAGTACCAAGAGGAAACTACTGAAAGATCTTGAGCATGGATACAATATAATTAGAATTATGTTTCATTAACATAGCTCAGCATCAATGGAGGATGGATTGTTTAGAGGAAAACAAATCTGTGACAAATTGTAAGGTCCTGTACCAGTGTGTTTGCAATGAGAATGGAGAGAAGTCAGTGGATTTAAAATAGCTTTCTATAAGTTTTAGGTATAAGCAGAGAGCTCTAGGAAGTATCTGAGAGCATGATAGAACTATTAACCAGAACACAGAAAGTAAAGAGAATAATACAGTGAGAGAAAAGTGAGTTAAGTTGTGGAAAATAACTCATAATTTCAGAAAAGCCTTAAGATATATGCTTCTAAGATCTTGCTAAGATCTGTTTCTGTTTGTATTGCAGTGTGATTTAGAAGGAATCATGCCAAATGTTACCATCAGCTTGAGTCTTCCCACCAATGGATCTCCACTTCAAGATATTCTAGTTCATCCTTGTGTGACTTCTCTTGACTCTGCCATTTTGACTTCTAGTAGCGTTGATGCAGTGGATGATTCTGCATTTAGTGGACCTTATAAATTTCCATTCACTCCACCGTTAGAGTCATTCAACTTATGCTACTACACTTCCCAGGTAAACAACCTTGGAGAAATTGAGAGTTAGCTAATTTTCATACTTAAGAATTCTATTTTAAGCGAATCATTCATATATTTGGTCCAAACGAGAACTTTTCTTGAGTTATCAGGCAATAATTGATGAATGAAGATGAAGATTCAGCTCTTTGAATAGGATGCCTCTTATCTCTGGAGTCTGAAACAGCATTGACTGGTTTTCAAAGTTATGGGATTTTTTTTTTTTAATGTTCCTTGATAAGGAGTCCATGGTATAGGATAAATCCTGGTATGATTTAGTCATGAGCATGTAAAAATACCTATAATCCCAGGCAACTGTGCTTACAAATATATAAATTAATAGCTGTTGCTTATTGAATAACTATTGTGTCAGACATTGTCCTAGGCACTTTATATATTTTTTTCTCTAGTACTTTTAAAACCCATAAGGTTGGTACTATTAGCCCCATTTTACAAATGAAGAGAGTCTCAGAGAAGTTAAATGACTTGCACAAGGTCATATAACTGATAAGTAGCAGAGCCGAGATTTCAGCCTAAATTTTCCAGACTCCAAAACCCAACATCTTTTCTGCTATACCATTTGTCTCTTGTCCTAATTGTGAATTGGTAGTTTAGGAAAACCTACTCAAGCTAGCTTAAGTAAACGGAATTTATTTTTGAGAGTGTAAGAGGCAATCTTATTGTCATACAAGGATAAGAAATTAGACCCAAGATGTACTGTAACTAGAACCAGAAGACTAAAATCTGTACTCAAGGTCTGCACTGTCTCATCTCTGCTTCTCATACTCCTCTTCTAACTGGCTTTCTCTGCTTGCATGTGACCTACAGCTCTAGGACCTATACTGTGTAAGTAGGTCCTTCTTATTTCTGACTTCACATGTACCAGAAAGAGTGATTAGCTCACCTCAGCCTACAGAATGTCCCCCCTTCAATCAGCTATCGATAACCAATTTAGTAAGCTAGTGCTGAGCTAGGAAGTGGGGATGTCACAAGATACAAATGGGGCAGCAGGAACTATGGGCAGGTGTCAGTGATCAATATGTCTAGTGCACATCTTATATTGCAGATCATGGAAAACCTGGAGGAAGGGAACCTGGATGAGCAAGAGTAGGAAAAAGAATGTATTGCACGCCTTTTTCGTCTCTGAAAACAAAAAGAGATGGAAGAATCTCTGCCTGTATAACAAATGTAGTTCCATTATCTATTATCGAAACTTGGAGTAATCTGCTAGTAATCATTAAAGACATATCTGTATATAATGACTATATTCTTGCAAGACTTTTTTCTCAATCACCATTGTTTTAGACCCATTAACCTGAGAATTATGTAAAAATTTGTTTATGTTTGTTTCTAGGTTCCTGTCCCACCAATTTTGGGCTTTTATCAAATGAAAGAGGAAGAAATACAACTAAAAATAACAATTAATTTAAAACTTCATGAAAGTGTGAAAAATAATTTTGAATTCTGTGAGGCTCATATACCTTTTTATAATAGGTAAGAATAAAATAACATGACGCCATGATTTCTGCCTTCTTTAGTACATATCCCCTGCCCTATAATAAATTACTTGTATTTTTTACCTTATTTTTAAGGTATTTTTATGTTATTCAAATGAATGCTGATTCTGAGGCAAAACATAGTCATAAAAATAATCTCTTTACCTTTAAACATGTCTTTATTTCGCTGGTAAAACTTGCTAGTAAATATAAACTTAAGCCAGTGTAGCTTCCTAGGGGGTTATTTCACTCCTGGCTTTATTTCTAACAGTTTTTCTGTATTCTACATACAAGTCAAGCCCAATAATCAACTACCTGGTGGATTAAGCCATTTATATCATAAGATTTCAATTGATCCTGAACAACTCTGGATTTGGGCCACCGAACCCTGCGCAGTTGAAAATCCACATATAGTACAACCTGAAATTTACTGGATTTCATTAACCAGTGTCACACACACACACACAAAAATTTTTTTAATTTAAAAGAAGAAAATCCACATATAACTTTTGGCTCCGCAAAAACCTAACTACAGTTGGCCTTTCACATCTATGAACTGGACTGATAAAGTTGACCTTTGAACGACACGGGTTTGAACTATGTAGAGACCTGTGTCATTCAAGGGTCAACTGTACTTCCTCATCAATTCTTTTAAATTTGTTCTACAGCGTTCTATTCGTAGGATATCTAAATATGTAGTAAAATCATAGTTTTAATGTTATGTCAGTCCATTGTGTTAATACATTCTATGTAAGTTTATAGTTGTCTTTAGAATTAATAATGAAATGTAGATCATCACCAAAAATATCTATTATGTTTCTGGTGTTTTTCGAGATATAATGTTTGTTACTTATTCTCTGTTCTACAAACTTGAATATAGATATGTTTTTATGCTGTCCTTGTATTAAGTAACAGTAGCAAGAGTTACTTAAATTTCTTAAAACTGTTATATCTGTCCTCATTACTTCTCTTTGTTGTGTCCTTTTCTTTTGTAAAGAGGTCCAATCACACATGTGGAATACAAAGTTAGTTTTGGCCAGCTCGAAGTATTTCGAGAGAAAAGCTTATTGATCTGGAATATTGGTGAGCCAGGTTTTGTTTATTAATTATTTTTCTTTCATTTGCTGTAGGATCTACTTAATTTAGAATATTTGATTGGCGTATTTGTGTTTTTAGGACAGAAGTTCCCTAAATCAATGGAAATCAGTCTTTCTGGAACTATAACTTTTGGAGCCAAGAGCCATGAGAAGGAGCCATTTGACCACATTTGCATTGGAGGTACAGCATACTTAAAGGTAAATATGTTTGTATGGCTCACTACATTAGAAACATTTCTATTGTTTCTAAATTGCATATATCTAATTGACTTTTTAATGTTTTCTAGCCATTTTTTTAAGTTCTATTATGTCTATGCAAAGTTTTTTTAAAATTTTTGTGAGGTTCCTTTTTAGTATTAGTCACTTTCTATTTCACTTAATACTTACAAATATTGAAAATGAAACTGTTAAGTACAGCCTAAACACTTCAACTTAATCTAGTTCTACCCAGCTCTAGTTATCACATTTGAGATTTGTATATAAAAATATGTATGATGTAGTCCTTGCTCTCTAGGGATCTTTCAATGATCAGTGTCAATAATTAATCAATGCTAACTGCTTTTGGTGTTTCAAGGAAAGTGTTGCAGTAGAAGTGGAGTTTAAGCAAAACTCTGAGGCCCAGATAAACATAACTATGAAGCTTTGAAGAGTGACTAACATTTGCATAGGTAAAGAGATAATTTAAAGGAGTGACAGATAGCAAGGCATGCTTAGGAATCAGTGCTGGAAATAGTAACACATAAGGCTGGATAAGTGATCTAAGTGTGGATTTTAGATTGTTTGAATCTCACTTTTATTCCTTTGTTACAAAATGTTACACTTTTTTGGGGTACGGGAGTGGTCTTTTAGAAAGCGATACTTTATGAAGTTAGGTCTAGAATGAATGTGAGGAAGATGAGTTAAAAAACTAGAGACAAAGAAAGTATTTTAGCTATATTAGAATTCCAGATGAAAGGTAATAAGTTAAAGATAATGAGCTAGTATAGTGTCACAAAAAGAGAAACGAAGGGAATAAAAGGAAGAGAATGCTATAAAAGTTGTAATAAAGATAAAGCCTTGGTCACTAATTAAATATAGAGACAAGAAATAGTTTTTAAGTCAAAGATGGTGTTATTAAAAATATATATATAACTTAAACCAGACTGGAAGCCCCAAGAGGGCAGACCATGTGAGTCTCATTCATTGTTTTACTACCAACATCTAGTCTAGTACCTAGCACATAAATATTTGCTGAATGGATTGATATACTTAGAAAAAATTATTGATATGGAGAAAGGAGGGAGTGGGCTTCATATCACTTATGTTGCTGGTAATATAACATCCCAATATAAGTGTCCAGTAGGTAGCTAAAAACCTGGAGCTTGATTCTGAAGAGAGAGCTCAACTATGTATAGGATTTATGGGTTATCCATGGAGAAGAAATAGTTGAGTCAGTGGAAATGAATAATCAGGAAAAGATAAGAGAAAATAAGGAGGAAGATTCAGAAGAACCAATGAAGGAAATTGAAGGAGCGATCAAAAAGGTAGCAAGAAATCCTAAATAAGATGGTATCAAATTAAAGAAAAAAGATCAAAATCTATCCATAAAAGCAATTAGGGGAAATGGTAGTGAAGTCAGAAGTATACTAGCGATATTCACTTCTTCTGTCTTGGCTTCAACAATGTCCACAAGATTTGTTTCAAGGATTATTATAAAAATTTCTACTTCCAGATATTTTTCAGAAAAAAAAATGTGGGATGTTAGTACACTGTATCTTTCAGTAGTAGAGATTATGATTTTTCTATTCATTTCTAGCACTTAACCAGTTATAGTTTAGTCAAAAGCATGTACCACATATTTGTGTTCACTCACTAGATTTATTTTTATAATATTTAGTTGTGTGGAAATCATCCTTTATGTAACTTCCAGCATCTAGATAAGCAAGCAGTTACACCAAAAAAGCAAGCAAGAGCCCTTTACTGTTCGAGGTAATTTGAATTGCAACAAGAAAAAAATTGCAAAGATCTGAAAATTACATTCCTTGCAAATGATCATCAGTTTGGCAATCAAAAGGAGAAAGTTAGGAAACAGGGAAAAATTAGCAGGGAAGGGAGATGGAAGAAAAAAATATATAGAAAAGGTATCGAGATGCTGCAAAATCAGGAGCTTTTAGCAGCAAAGATGAAGAGAACCACAGCAAAAGGAGACTGGAGCTCTGTAAGATACAGACCTTTCATAGTTAAAGTGAATATTATTCTGACTCAGAGGCACTCAGTACCATGCCTTCAGAGAAGGTACTGATGTTCCTGTCTACTATAATACAACATAATAATTGGCATTTATACTGATGATGCCACATTATCAATTAAATCCCAGAAACAATGGATTATATTTTAGAAAGGTTTTATAGGTGAGAGATAGGGTGATTTCTAAGCTTAGTTCTGTTAAAGTTGAATTTCAGTTTTGCGGAAAATTAAAGTAGAGCATCTCATTCCTTCTAAACACCAGAATAAACTGGCATTTCGGTTTTAGTAATTGCATTCTTGTGTTTTAATAAGTGATGTATACATTTCTGCCTGTAGAAGAATTATGATCTGAAACATCACAATCACAAAGCCTTAGAGATAGAAGAAAATATCAGAACACCAAACACGATAGGGGAAAGAGCATCAGCTTTTGTAGTCAGTCATATCTGAATTACAGCTGCCAGCTCTGCTACTTACATGTTGGGATGCTAATTGCTTCTGTCTCTGTTTGGAAAATAGGGATACCTTGCAGTATGGATTAGAGTTCATATTAGTGAAGTGTCTGGTATGTGTTAAGCATATAATAATGGCAAACTCGCAAAGAAACAGCCCTAATGCAAAAGGGAAATGGTACATGTATATGTACACATCTACATGCATACACACAATATTCAGGTTTAATGTTTGTGATTTTAATTTTTTAAACTGTGTGAATTAAATTCCTAAAACTATGTTGAGGAAAAAAATGAGACTATTATTTTTACCAAAGAATCACCTTAATTTGGTACATTTCTTTTTTTCTAGCTTCATTTTAGGATCTTAGATTACACACTTACTGGGTGTTATGCGGATCAACATTCAGTTCAAGTTTTTACATCAGGAAAACCAAAAATAAGTACATGTAAGTTGCACAGATTCAAACCAACTTGAGGGAATGAAAATGGTGTCACACAGTTATTACATAAAGTAAAATTAAAGTGTAACAGAAAGAGATCTGAGAATAATCCCAATTATAAAAATTCTGGCCTGAATTTATTCTTTGTGTAAAATTGTATCTTGTTTATTAAATTGTCTGAATGAGCAGGGATTGACATAGAGGTGGGCTTTAGAATAAAGTTGTATTTGTGTTCTGTTTATAATGTTTACTTTTATTAAGAGGCTGTTCACAGGCGCTTTGACAAAGATTTGAGTCTGGCTCAGACAATTCATTATCTGTAATTTTAGGCAAATTAGAGACCTCAAAGTTTTAATTTCCTCATCTATAAAATGGAAATTATAGTATTATTTACATCAGGATTGTTATGAAGTTTAAATAAAATTATATCAACCAAGTACTTAGCATGTCGCTTAGCATGTAGTATGGATTCAATAGATTTTAAATATGATTTTTTAAAATTTTAAGTATTTCTAGCAAATGTTGTAGTCAATGAACATTACTTAGTACTCTCTCTATTTTACTAATAGGAAAGCAATAGAAAGAAGGTTTCCTGCCTTTGGTGTGTTTGTTGGTTATAAAAAGAATATGTATATAGTGTACATGAAATATAGGGAGACAAAAAGCAATTTGTAAATGAATTAAAAATTATTTAATTTAGATCAAATGCATACACGTAGCATAGAACAGAAAAGTAGCTAGAATGAGGTAGAGTTAGCTAAACATAAGTAGAACTCTTGCCTTGAATTAAGGAGAATAAACTATTATATTTAGGTAAGAATTTCTTAAAGATTAGGGTCCTTAAAATAGGAAAGATAGGACAGGACTTTTTACTTGAAAGTTTCAAAACAATTATAGAACTCAGAACTACAGAATTCTAAGTAATTACTTGTAAAGAGCAGTAATAAATTCAATAAACCATATTCTTTACATCTGTAGGCTTTCCCTGTATTTTCTGCTACATTGTTTTTTGGTCGTTTTTTAAAGAAATGCATATATATGGGATAGTATTCATAATGCATTTTTTTTATTAAGGCATAACATAATTACATCAGTTTGGACAAACCAATGGTTTTGTCTAAATGTAAACAAACCAATATTTTAGGTTTTATCTATAGGATACCGAACATAAAATGTTAATTTAAATAATAATAGCTAACATTTATTGCTTACTATGTGCCAAGCACAGTTCTAAGTATTTTATGTGTGTTAACTCATTAATCCTCACAGCACCCTGTCAAGTATTGTTATCTCCATTTTACAGATGTAGATAGATGCTGACAGAACAGAGAGATTACGGTCCCATAATTAATAAATGGCAGAACTGAGAATCAAACCCAAATAGTCTGGCTCTGGGGCCTGGCCACTTAACCAATATGCTATGTTGCCTCTCAAGGTTACTAAGTTTCCAAACTGAAAGCAATAAAATAAAAAAGATAAGATAATATATCCTACCTATATCCTTTTCATTATGAAGAAGGGCATGAAGAAGAATGGTAGAAAAGGCAGAACTGAATATTTAGTGATGTATGTAATAATAAGAATTCACATGTGACTAGTTCCAAATGAGCATTATCTCAATTTTACATATCAGAAAACTTCAAAGAGATTATCATTTGTCCAAAGCTACAAAGCTATTAAGACAAAAAGCTTAAATTTGATCAGAACTATCAGAAACTATTGAAGCAATCTTTTAAAAACATTATTAGGAAGTTGGCTGTTTATTTCTGTCTCTGAAACTTTGAATGAATAGAGAATAACAAGATCAGAATCAGGACCATTGCAAAGAGGTTACTAGAGAGAAAACAATAAAAACTTTTTATATTGTAGTTGTAGTTGAAGTAATGGTCCACAAGAAACAAAATTTAGGGAAAATGTGAGAAAAATAATTAGGCAAAAAAAAATTTGGCATAAGTGAGGGATATTGGCATAAATGTGGCATAAATAAGCTTAAAGATGGGTTATTTAAATATTTAATAAACCCATATTTTTCAAGTAAGAATTACAAGCCAAAAGTCAAAGTAAAATGAATATTTCAAAATATTGCCTGCCTTGAAAAAATTATTGTTCCACAATTTTAAATATCATGACTTGGCTGTCTTATTGAATTTTTGTCAAGATGATACAGTCTTATCATTTTTTTTTTTTTTTCAGATCGGAAACTAATTTCTTCTGACTATTACATCTGGAATTCTAAAGCTCCTGCTCCAGTAACATATGGATCATTATTACTGTAATTATTTCACATTTAAACATGATTTATACAATAGTAGCATAGCTTAAATCATAATCTTAGTATGTGTGCATAGTACTTATGTGTGAAAAAATTATTGAATGATTTAATTATAAAAACACTCTTGTTTGATGTTTTTAGTCTAACACAGTTTGAAAAAATATTTTAAAGACTGATGTCTCCAATTTCGTTATCCTTTGATTTTACTCAAGTACTATTCAGAGCATAAAACAGTAGTGAGTGAGTCACTTTAGGCTTATTTTAGACTAGTCTTGGGTCATCCTGCCACACATACTCCTTCCTGTGCCTGTGGCAGACCTGGCTAATCTATCATAGCCCTCTCTCTTTCTCTGAGCCTTCCTGGATACAGGCTCAGGCTCCTCTTCAGTACAGAGCTGCAGGCAGCCACTCCTGATGGATTGTAGATGATGTGCAAAAAAACTACTTACTCTTCCAAACCTGAGTTCTAAGTTCCTAGTACATTGTGTTGTTTCAGAATACCAGAGACCACATTAGAACAACTGTAAATCTCTTGGAAAAAAAGCCAGTGAAAACAAAGGAAAATTGTTTAAATAGTAACCTGTTCTTAAACAGAGCTATCCTATTGACTAATAAGGAATCTGCATAATTCTACTTAAGGTGTTTATCTCTGTTCTAGAGTAACTTTTCTTGTAAACTTATTAATCTGCTACAATAACATTTTGCTTAGGGTGTCAGCAAGAATGCTAAGAGGGGTGGGATAACTTCAGAAGACGAGCATAATGTTTTGTGATCACAATGTCCGCAGCCAAATTTTTAAAGATAAATGTGGGTATAATGTTTTTTTCATGTTCTATTATATTAAAATTCACTAACGAATGAATTCAGATAAAAATTCAAAAGCCATTCTGTGGAGAGTATCATTTAATTTTATTTTAGTAGCATATTTCAATCTTAATCTCATGTAGCATATTTTCTTTAAATTTGTCACTCTCACTTTCTTGTGAGCATTCTTTTGGTTTTCTCAGGAACCATCTTGTCATAGTCTTTATTCTCTTTACCTGTCTTTACAATTGTATGTCTCATTCTGCTTTCAAACCAGTTCACTGTCAAGTTGGATTTTAAGTGACCCTTCATGAAAAGATGAAATCTCAAGATCCTCAAAACTTAATCCATGTCATTTATTTTTACAGAACAGAAGTAGAAGTATTATAAAAAATACATTACAGATTAATATTCAATCAAACTATATCTTGGTTTTTATTTTTTAATGAGTCTCCTAAAGAAAAGTTGAGAAAAAGCTGCTAAGTCTTTCGAAGAGAGCTGTGATAGTTTGAAAGGATATTGCATATAAATTTAGGATTTGAAATATGATATTTTAATTAAGATCAGTTCTACTCATTACAAACTCTTTTTCTGCAAGGCATTTTCGTGGCACAATGTTCTCTGTTCAGAATTATCCCAAATAATAAAGGAAATAGAATAATTGCCTGACCAGGACTTTAACTTATTATTCTAGCCTAATCATAGTAAAAAACTTTCCTTTTGAAAAAATAAAAAAACTATTTCCCTTAAGCTTTTGATCTTCCTTAAACTCAAGGAAAGCTTAACATTTAACTGACGTTAAAATTAATGAAACCGTTTGGACATCTCGATTGTATAATGTTTAGCAAAGCACACTAACGTAAGCAAGAGGCATTTATCTAGTGAGTAGGCAAAGATTCAGTATAATGATCCCCAAAGGAAAACTTTATAGGCAATCAGAGAAACCAGTGAATCTTTGACTTGACATTTCTAGAAACCTAAGGAAAATCTAGGAATACTGGAAAAGTGTAGGGCAACGTGATGCCATCTATTGCCGTTTTATTCTAACATAACACTACAGAACTAAAACCAACTCATGTTTTCATCCTGTTGAGATCAGCTGGACACACTGTGATGCTTTCGATTTTGTCTAGAAACCTGTCACTTCAGGATAATTTCTGAAGACAAAGTCTGTTTCCCGTTTGGTAGGTGACCTGTTTAATGTTTTCCCTGTGTCTGGGAACTCCTTAGTGTAATTAGCGACCTTTGAACTCCACAACTAATCCTGAGCTATTTTGTATTCCTTACTCATCTTTAAGGCTGGACCTTTCTTTTCTTCAGAGTCCGCTGCCACAATTAAAGAAGAAACAGCTGCATTTCAAAGGGATTCCGATTCCAGAAGCTTAATCGTGATTGACATGTTCTTATTCTAAGCTATAAGACACTATAAGAGTTCTTTCTTGGGTTAAAACTTCAATCATTTTCTAAAAAATTATCTCACTATGGATTTTATTCATTTTCTTTGATAACTATTCTTTGCATTTTTTTAACTTGAAAGATGCTTTGCGTTTGCAGTGAATATGTGCACCTACTTCCAGTTAAAGATTTGGATACTGTCAGACCTACTCTAGATGCAAAATTGCTAAATTAAATTCTCTTTTGGTGCCAAAATATGATTATGAAATCTGATGTCTATCATATGGGTAATTATTCTTCAGTAGACCCAAAAGATACAAAACACATTAAGTTTCTGGAAACATACTCCAGAAAAGATGGTCCATGATTTTGGTAAAACTTTTCTTTTCTTCAATTTTTACTAAACAATGTTTTTAAAACTTTTTAAAGCCAGCAAATACCCTTACAGTGTAAGGTAATACCTTTATAGTAGTGGGCATTTTTTACTTTATAAATAATGTATTCAAATGTCAAGTTTGAATTAAATAACCTTGGAGGATTATTTGTTCAAAAAATTTTTTTGCCTAAACATTAGTCTGTCTCAAAATTTAACTTTTTTATACCAATTCAGTATTTCTAATTAGTTAAAATTATTGATTTTGTATGATTTAAGATCTTTCAAAGCACAATTTTCTACATAATAACTAAATTTTTTAAAATTTATTTTTATAGTATTTCAGACTACTTTTTATAGATATTCATAAACTCCTGCACCACCCCTAGGAGGTAGGTAGGTCGAGTTTTCATCCAGAGCCTCTTCGGGGACGAGGACGGCTGCCACAGCAGAATGGTGGTTTCTAAGACAAAGGTCAGAAAAGGGATGTTAATAAACAGTCTTCAGGTTTAAGGGACTTTTTTAGGATTACATCTTAAATTCCAACAAATCAGATTTAGGAGTTACTGAAAGTGAAATTGATCCATCCCTCATCCAAACTTTGCAATACTTTCCTGTTCTGACATCATTTAGATAGTCAGCTGTATTATCAGATTAGAAACCATTGTACCAGGCTGGTGAAAGGAAAAGGAGGCAAAAAGCTAAACATGGGATGAATTCTGAACCTTTTAACCTGGCTGAAGTACGTTGGTCCCTGTTATGCAAATACCTTCAATCCTCTGCTAAGTTCAGTGGAAATAATTTTCTTGAATGACAGGTTTATTCAGCAAGGATTCAGTTGGTGATTAATCCCCCTTTGATCTAGGGTATTTCACTTAACTACCAGTTACCTCGTTCTGACAAAGTGCAACTGAGATTAGGGAGATCACTAGAACACTACCAGGGTGTGCGTTTATTCTCTCTAACCTTTTAAAGCAAGGGCCAAGAATGCAATTTATTTTCAGTATTTGAAGATGTAAAGTCCTGTCTGTTAAGTTAGAAAGTCAATTGAATACCAAATGAAGTTTATTTCTTACGTAATAGAACAAACATTTCTTTTTGCTTTGCTTAACAATGATTTTAGGAAACATAGACTTTGAAGGAAGAAGAAACAAAAAGACTACATTCTAAGTATTTTGTCTAGTTTTGTTTCATGTAGTATATAGAGTATACACTTATTGGCCCTGAGATAACCTGAAAATCAAAGTGGTGGCTACCAACTTAGGTTAAGAAGATGCTTCTATTTGATTAAACTGCATGGTTTCTTCCACCCCCACCCCAACCCCCCATTAAAAAAAATGTCATGCTATGTGGTAAAGAAATCCAGTTAGGGAGAACACAATACACAATTACTCAAGACTTCTGATTTCAAAGATTTATTTGTTGACTTCATCTTTTCTTGAGGAAAAGAACTTGTTATGTTCCCATCATAAGAATAATTGCATTTATTTTCAGAATGAAGATATTTCATAAAGGTAAATGAGGCCATTAAAAAATACTTTCTAAGTAATTACAATCTCAAAATAACCATTTTCACAGTATTGTTTGCTGTTTTTTCTCCCTTTTTTTTTTTTTCGTTTAACTGGATACCTCTTCTTCTACAGCTTTAAACTTTGAAATATTCTATGGAATTTTGCACAATGAGAATAAATTTTTAAGATATGTTTCATGCTAGGTTTCTCAAAAAAATTCACTTTTAAAAACATCAATATCAATGTCAATATTTATCTTTTAAAATATCAAATTTGGGGGGATATATTTCTCACATACGTTTCAAGATCCTTAAGAAACTGCTTTGTAACAAAATTTGTTTTTAAGTTAAATTATTATAGACAAAGCATTTTTAAATGTTTTATAATTGTTCATTCTAGTAGCAGTTTGTAATATAAGCTGTGTATTTACATAATTATACGGTTTTTTGGCTCAAACATTTTGTGACCTAATTTCTAAATTGAAACAATAACTCAAGTGCATGTCTAACTTACCATGATACCAAACCAGTCTCTCTAGTTTCAATTTAGTAACTTGTTTGCATATATCTTTTGATAGCAAGTTACTTAACCACAGTAAAATTGAGGTTCAGAGAAAATATAAGGTGAAAGGCAGGATTCCCTGCCTATGTTGCTAAGAAACTGGTATTGTTAACAATTCACTACTCTATTCAGTAAATATTTAGTTAATAAAATGTTGCAATATATTTTGAAATATGCCATCAGAGAAAGAATCTATATAAAATGTGTGTATATTTATGTAGTGTATATATGTTAGTGAGTGTGACTTAGTGGATTTCTCCATGAAATATTTAGTATCATGTCAGAGGAAGAAGAATAAAGTCAAATATTCGAATATCTTCCCCCCAAACACAATATTAGTTAATAGTAATGAAGAGGTTCATTAAAATGAAAATTTCCAAAGAACTCATAAGATCACTTTTACAAAATGATTAATATTCTTATGAGCTGAAGCCTTTCAACTAGCTTCTAATTTTTTTTATCAACTTTTATGGATATAATAATATTGTCCATATATAGCATGGAGCAATTCAAGGCCTTATCTGTATTACTAGTTTACTGTCTTGTAAGCAGGTTACTCTGAGGTCCAGGTTGATTTCTCTAAGGCCATGGCTAATCTGCCTGATTGTTGGCAATGTGATGGTAATGTATGATGTACAGCATTTACAGATTGATGGATGCCCTGGAATGGAAACCACCTGTTGAGTTGTTTTTCCAGTAGGACATGTGAAAATTTGTGTATTTGGTAACCTATTAAACATTTAAAACTCAAACTGTGTTTCTATCAGATGTCTTTTTAAGTGATAGTTTATGTTAAAAATTGGTTTAGATAACACATTTCTAATAATAAAAATGAAAATTTTATCTCATAAAATTTTTACTTTTTCCTTCAAGGTACTTGAGTGCCCTCTGCAGGTTATAAAGAGATAATTAATTATTTTATTTTTAAACCCCGTGACTTCCCTTTTAGAAGCATAACCAGCGTAAATGTGATCTATTTTATTTATGATGTTAACTTTGTTAATTTGCCAGCAATTGGAGGAAGAGTTTCTTTTTCTTGCCTGTTTTATAGTTGTGTTTAGTGTAAAGAATTTAATACCATTGAATTCAAAACACTTAGCTGGGGCTCTTTAACAGTTGGAATTATACACATTAGAATTAATACACAGTCCCTCAGAGAAAGGAGATAAGGAAAATATCTATTTTGAAATGTATTGAAGGGGTGGAGAATAACTTATTTCCCATAACATTTTTAGAATGTTATACATTTGAAATAAGCCTTTTTCAATATGCATCTTGTGAAATTTTTAAATTGCATAAGAGTTTTATTTCTTGATCTTGTTGATGAATGATGATTATGTTCAAGCTATAAAACAAGTCTTAGAATTTAAACAAAATTAGGATTGAACAAATAATGCTTTGGTATTGTTGCATAGGTCAACTGACTAAAAAGAGTATTTCTACTTGAAGAGCAAAAGGCAAAGGTTTTACATCTGAGTCACTCATTTCAATGTACCCATATTTCTCAATGGATATAACAGATTAGTTCCTAAAGGATATCAGAGTTCACTTTCTACATATAAAACTATGGAACTGGAGCACCTGCAGCACTTCTGATTCACTTAAAGCTTCCAGGGGAACTAAATATGATGAGAACAAGAGGAGAGACTAGATCAAATTACTAGAAATAGATTTTTTTTGCAAGCAACATAATGATCCTGATCATCAACCTTGAAAAAGTAAATTAGAACAAGCAAATTGCAGTTGAAAAATTCTTTCAGCACTCTGCTGTTGCTACTCAGCCAGAGGCAAGGGAAAAATGCACTGTTTTGCATTAACAAAGGAAACATTATTAAAGTGAATGTTTACATTGTGTTTATTGAAGTGTTCAAAGAATATTTGCATCTTCAACCTGCTGTTCTCCCTACTATTACAGTGCATGAGTGATAATAAAAAGTCATTTATACATTATAGAAAAATAACTTGTTTCTGAACTATCTTCAAAATATTTAAGTATCAGACTTAATACTTTCTTAAAGATTTTTGTCTCTAGGAAATGTATCCCATAAAAAAGACTCATTTGCTTGAATATAACTTACAATTATTCCCAAGTGCTTTATGTAACTTTCCTCCTAGAAACTACAGCATATAAGAAATAAGCTAAAAATCAAACAAAAAAAATAATTGTGAAATTACTGGTGAGTTTGTAATTAAATATATAATATATTCATTTGAGAAATAACTTGATAATTGAGAGCTTTTGTGAGCTATCATTATCTTGAACTACATAAAAACTAAATTGAGAATAGACAAAACAATTGAAAACAGGCATGCCAATGTGTCATTAAAAATTTAATAAGTATTGCATGTACTAGTAAAATAAGAGGAAAGTCCATAATTAAAAATTCAGAAGGAACTTTAGCTTTCACCTGTCTGAAATGGACAATTAAAATCACCTTTATATTTTAGAAGTGGGGGAAGCATAGTATTTAACAGGAATTAAAATACCATATTTTCTTGGTCTCTTATCAGGTGTTATTGAATACAATTCAGTATTCAGTAATTGCTTATGGATTAACTAATTTTTGAAGAACTTTTATTAGTTTCACCAATAGGACAAGTTGTCCATCTTCCACATTTCAGCCTAAAAATCTTACCTGTCACAGTTAGCAAAGATTATTAGCCCATGCTATAGGCCCTTGAGAACCTCTTAGCTAGATATTTTATTATTTATCATTTCTATAATTTACAGAGCAGCATGCATTTATTAAAGTCCAAAAAGAATTGATAACATTATCTAAAAGTTACGATTGACTATATACAGATATATGTAATGAATATTTGACATTTTCCTAAGGAACGTCAATCTTTGTTCATAATCTAAAAAAAAAATTTGTTTTGAATATAAAATAAAGCAAATGCTAAGACTTTCACTCTCCTTTTGCTAAGAAGTAACCAGAAGTGGTTAGTAATGCTTATAGCTTGCTAACTAATAGTAGCAAGAGGACTTTCTAACTAATGAGAATATTAGCAGCTTCATGCCCATAATATGTATTTCCCTTATATATGTTAAAATAGTAAGTGCCATTTAATATTAAGGGCCTAAACAATTAAACATAAGGTATAATTTGGAATTAGAAACTGCTGAGTAATCTAGTTGACACGGAGAGTTTAATTTGTCAATAAAAACTCATCATTGATATTAAACTTTTATTGTGCTATTATATGCCACTCCAGAACTAAACAAAAAGACAAAAAATAGTACCTGATTTTGAATGGTATAACTCCAGCAATTTATTAGTATTATAATATGGGAGACTACATTGTTAATACAGAAATTGTCCAAAGAGGTGATGGTTAAAGTTCACTAGCCAAAAGAAAGAGGGGCAACATCTATCTCTGTAGGTCTATCTGACAAGCAGAATCCCAGAAACCTGAACATCTAATATGGTAAGAATATGTATGCAAGGGAATATTTTTTGCTTCCAAATGTTTAAACTTTGGATATGTAAATAAATATAAATTCCTAAGGAAAGTAATTAATTTCTAGCCTATTATACGCACAAATATGAAAGCACTCCTACATACTAAACATACACTCCCAACTGTCTCCCCCTTCTAACTCTCTTCCTTGCTCACTTTGAGTGCATGTTTACATGTGTGAGTATGAGATTTTCCTCTGCATTATGAATGAAGAAAATATGAAGTATATATAAATAGGATTATGAGGAAAGCATGTAAAGAATTGTCATATACTCTATTAATATGCTAATATGTATTATACTGAGTCAATTGATAAGCTAAATTTTTGTTTAAGATAGTTCACATATGGAACTTCTACCTCAGAACACATTCTTAGCCTTGTTTCAGTTGAATATGTATATATGTGCACATACATGTGTGTATAAAATGAAAAATACAAGTTCTAGAGCATTGGTTTTATGTTTGCAAATCTTTCCCCCTACCTCCTACACCGACATTTTTAACTTTTTGAGGACAATGACGTTCATCTTTGCAACTTTGTATTCCCAATGCCATCAGAAACACAAAAGCAGCTTAGTCTCGATTCAGTAAAGTAGCAAAATGTTAAATACATGAGAAAGAAGGTTGTTCTCCCACCTAAAACAAATCAATGATGTTTGAGTGATTGTTTTGCATGTGTGTATAAAAAGTCTGTGGTGCAAACAGTGGTTCAGTCCACATTCAGCACAGGTGATTTCAACCCTGTAATATCTCTGGCACTATTCAGAGAATTTGTCACTATTTATGACACTGCTCTTCAGACACACTGTGCATAGCTTTGGTTCAGTCTGTCAGTCTAGCAACAGCTGAGGCCTGCAGTTGCTGTCTGTCATAGGACACATTCTTTGCAGTTATGCTTCAGTGAACCTTAAAGCATTTGGCACTCCCATCTTAGAAATTCCCTTCTGGAACTCACTCTACACTGGCTTTGTGAGCTCCCCACTATTCACCAGAGTCAATCCTGACTTTGGTTGGTATAATATGACCTGATATGACTCTCCTCACTCTATAAGCCACAGCTTTCAGTGATTCTCATATACTGATAAAACAAGTTACCAGTGTCCAAGAATTTTAAGTGTCTATTTTGGACATTTCCATTATAATATGGGAGACTCCATTAACCATAGGCAGAGTGGTATAAAGGAAATACACAGTCTTTGAAGTCATACAGGCCTTGTTTCAAATCCCAGCTCTGCTATTTACGAGCTAGGTGGCTCAGGAAAAATTACTTAACCTCTCTGGTCTTCATTTTACTTCTAGCTTCATAGGGTTATTGTGAGTATTGAATGATACCAAGTTCTGGTATTCAACCAATATTCATTCCCTTCTACATCGAAGTTCAAGAATGGTCTTTTCATGTTCTGTCTATAATTAGACAGTTATGCCTTCAGGTTATTAAAATTATATGAATTATCCCTTTCAGCTTGGTTTTGAATGTTTAGCTGTATATTATATCGCAGAAATGCCTACTCTGTTGCTTGAATGGGTCCTGGGAGCTAATAAAATGGCTGTAGAATTGAGTGGATGTAAGCCTTTTATAAAAGTTTACTAAAGTTTAACAATTCATTATTCATGGAAAGACATTTACTCATAATTCGTACAAGGTTTGATAAAAATAGTGATATTCTGCCAAAAGCGGGATTGAACAAAAATGAAATTCATCCACAGGAACATTGAACAAATGCATTAATAACCCACAAACTATTAATAGAGCTCAATTAACTTCTGTAAAGCTTTTCTTTATATTCAAGATATGGTCTGCATCATTCATAACTATTTGCTACAAGTAGAAGTCATTTCTTCATAAGATAAACCACTGATTAAACCTGAGTTTTGATGTCCAGTAAGGAAATGAACACATTCAGAATATTCTGACATGTTTATTATGCAACATACTGTATAGGCTCTAGGAAGAAATGTAAAGATTAAGTGCTTGCTTTCCCTGAATTTACAATCTGAAAGATATAGAAATGCTTTAAGTACCAGCTGTTATCTCTTGAATTTTCTTGAAATATTTTTTCTAAAAATAATAGAAAAATATTGATTTATTTGACAACATAGTTTTAAATGTCAGATTGCTTGATTTGTTGATTTAATATAACAATATTTAAGTAGTCAAACAGCTTCCTAGAAATCTGAAGTTTCGGACCAAAGAATCTTAAGTCTTAATAATGATAAAAAGCTGAAAATGATTTGTTCTCTTCTCATAGAAAAAGGACATTTTGTTTTGTTTTATTCTACCAGCTCTTTT